AGGAATTCGATATATCTTCAAGATCAGTTAAACGATTATGAAACGAGAATCTAGAACTTCGACCATCGAAGCGGTGAATCGAAGCATGACTCTCTGATACTCACAAGAGCAAAAGAATTATGTTTGCAAATTGGATACATAATAATTTTCTGAAAGAACAAACAATGCAAGTTCAATGAAGGAACTTTTGATCATGAATGTTACATTAAGGAATTCTTAATCAATGGCTAAATAGTATGGTGATGAAATATTTGGAAACGACTACTCACTGACAGAACGATGCATAGCGACGCATACAGCATTTATGATAACACTGTTGGAAGGACAACTTGCCGAACTCCATTGAGAAAGATGTTTGACCGACAGATCGTTTTGTTCTGAATCCTTTGGATTATTTTATATTGGAATGAATTAGTGCAACTAATGGAATGGGAGAAAGAGTTCATTTAAAAAGAGTTTGATTGTTAAATTAAAACGTGGGATTTGAAAAAATAGATAAGAAGCTGTCTTAGAAAGTTGTGCTAGTCGGACTTATCGTTTGTCAAAAATATTTGCGATTATTCACATAAAACACTGTATTGTGTAGAGAATTTTACGGGGCGTCTTTAGAAGAAAAATATAGTCCAGTAGGATAATATTTTAACGTGCGAATAGTATTAATTCGACTACTAGGTTTCTATAGAAACTTCTATTTACAAATGCTTCTTCTGCATGCTGATATTAGAATCGATATCGATCAAATGTAGTATCTTGTTTAAGTTATTCCAATAATCATTGAAGCCATCTGATTAGAAGAAAAAACCTTTAGCAGGATTTAAGCTAGTTGAAAGAAGAAAATATTTTTTTCGATGTAGAAAACTTTGGAAAATTCAAGGTAGAAATTGATATTTTTTTCACAACTTTTAGGAAAATAAATATAAATTTTGATTTAAATTATATTTTCCTTTGTAATAATTCATTTTCATCCATGGTTAATCATATGTCATCGATTAAAGTCGTTTTTCCTTTTGAAACTGCGGTTAACCTGATGTGAATAACATTAGTTTTAATAATCGATAGGGTGCAAATTTGTCATTCGATGATATTTAATGAAAACTAATCAACGCCAATATCTATATTCCCTCAAATTCTGTTATTCCCATCTTTCTCTATTGTGTACACGTGAAAAAGGTTCGTTTCGTATATGTTTTAACTCTCACTTTGTCTCACATGCGTATAAATGCTCAAAAATTCGAAATTCAATACGTGTTCTAATACATATCAAGATGATTGGGAAAGTAATCAAGAATTATGTGAACACTCTCAAAGAGAACTATTTGGAAGTTTGTTGCTCGAAATAAAATGTTTGCTCTCCTCTTCAATCAAAATCTTTAACATTTTAATTGTCAGAAACAAGAAGTATTGAGTGTGTACATGTAGAAAAAATAAGACAATGATTTCATAGTATTCAAAGGTGTGATGATTTATGATGATCTACATTCACAAATTTCGTATAGTATAAACGAAAAGTATGCATAAACAGTGATAGACAATATTAACCAAACAGTTGATGTCCATGTTTTTCTTTACTATGATCCTAATATTCATTCTGATACTGTTGCGTGATGTGCCATCGAACCAATTAACAAAATATATGATTGCAATGGAAACGAACCTGATTTTAAGCTTTATTATGGCCTATTGAGTTTTTGGTAACACTGACATATTGAGACTGTATTATTCACCGCATCTCATTATATCCAGTCCATTTTCAAATTTCTTTTTTTTCTTCTTTAAAACTTACGCATATGGAACTTTTCACCTGCATAAAATAATCTTAGCACTTAGTTTTCTTTTAGACTAATGCTCATGATAAACAGTCATAGCAGAGAGAAGAAAGAGAAAAGTTTATAAAGGCAACATGGTTGTGTCTTAATTTGATACTTTTTTGTCTTTCTATCTCTGCTGTCTAAGTCGTTTTCTCCCTAGTGTGTTTGAGTTTTACTCTTCCTAGCTAGAATGAAAAGTCTATGCCAACATGAAACTCGACACATTTTTTTCTTGTATTTTATATACTTTGTATAAAGCGTTTTCAACTTCTAGTTATTAGTATGATGTTTTACTTTATTTTTTCATCTGCAGAATTATTTATTTCGCTTGTTGTATTCACAATTTATCGAAGTTGAGTTTTGAGATATGGACAAAGAAATCTTGAGATATTTTTAGCATTTTCAATGGTGTTTTTTTTTTCAATTTATTTTCTGCATACAAAACGAAAGAATAATAGTATATTGTGCACGTAGAAAAATGTGATTCTGGCTTATTTCACAATATTGACCATAGAATTAATTCGAGCAACATAGAAAAAACACGAGTATATGTATATAGATATATATCAGAAGAACACGCGAGATCTAGTTGGAAAAAATAATGTACGATGTCAGCATACATAATGAGAAAGTCAATCTGTGAGAGGTATGATACTTTTTTATAAACCACCAGCATGTGTACAAATTTGCATTATAGAAGACTCCACATCAGCAAGTAAGTTGGGTAAACGAAGCTGTTTCTTTCTGAAATAACTTCTCTTGTGCCATACTAATAACACGTTCTTCGAAACATTCAAAACTGAAGGAGCAATCTTGTGCACTACACTGTCTTTACTGTCTGCTTCAAAATACAATCATCTAGTTTTCTAAACCTCGACCAGATAGTATCATGTTTATGAAATTCATTCAAATCATACTGGCATACAATGTTAAAGTATAGTATTTTGTCGATCATTTTCCATTCGAACTTTCAAAACATTTAGAAAGCAGCATATTTTTATGCACATTTTCGAATTATTTTTTAGTTCCCAATGAAATCTATCTATTCTGGAAAAATTTGTCTTTTTCAACGAAGAAAATGGAAGTAGTCCTGTGAGTGAAAGATAGTTTATTATTGAAAAGAGAAACATTAATTCCATGAGACAAATTGTTCCGAAAGCGATCTCAAAGAGGACTGATTTATCGACGAACCATCTGCTGTGCTTCCGACAACATTTTCCTGAGATAATTTTTTTAAATAATTAGATAGAATACAGCCACTTATTTAGGAAAAATAGTTTTCTATTTTTGTCAAAGTAAAGCTTGATAGTACGAATTAGGAAAATGTTCAAGTTTTCGATACCTTTTGAAAAGCGTTTTTATTGTTACATATGACAACATATGTCAACCTGTTTGTTTAATTCAACATTGTAAACATTTTTACTGACTCTCCACATAAAATTGAGTTAGAAATGTGAATTCCTTAGTTTAAAGAGCACATTTCGTCTTATAATCAACGTAAGTATAGGGCTTTGGATAACTGATAGTTCTTTATTAGAATTAAATATTTGTTATCGTCGAGTTACGTAGTTAATTGTCTTGTATGTTCATCGATTCTATGGAAAAAGAAAGTCAAAGGAAATAGTGTGTGACTATATGCATACATCATTATTGTGCATTAAGATGAATAATATGATGCCATTATATGATAATGTAAACTATTTTTAGCAGTAGATTATTTCATTCAAAAGAACCAAATAAAGCATTTGATTAATTGATTATTAGGAAATACATATAAATTGCATTGCTATTGATTGACATTTATTCTTTTCCAACGAGAAATAATATGTCAATGACTTTTATTATTTTAAAAAAATAACACTAGAAGAAGTAAGCATGTACGACAGAAAGGGAACTGTTGAATAGAGATGATACTTCTATCTGTGCTTAGTTTTTCTACAACTGTAGAACAAGTGCTGAACAATCTGTAAGATCGAGAATTTTCCTCCAGAATTGATTGAATATCTAATATGAATTATTTATTCTATCCTAGCTTCGTATAGGTTGACTAGTCTAGTCGAGTTAGTTAAAGATTACTTTTTCAATATGCTGGACTTACATAATTTAGACTCGACAGCAAATGAAGTTTTATTATATTTGAGAGAATTAAATTTAAATTCGCCGAGAAACCGATAGTATTCTACAATCAAACTTCATCCTACTGCAAATGCGATAGTTATTCTCTCGTACTTCACTATATGGAGTTTTATCGTACGAAGAGATATGTTGTATTATCTTGAGAATCATCGTATGTAATGTCTTGATGTTCACTATTATCCACAAAAACAAATCTTGCCAGGATCTATGCGTACGTTTGTCCTCTTACTTATCACGGAAACGAACTGTGTATCATCGTCATCGACAATGATAACTTAGTAGTGATTAGCAAATAGATAATGGTGGGCACTATTCAAAAATAGAGTTAATTGCAAATACCGAATAAGTCATAGTGAAAATAAGTTGTTCATCCATGCAACGCTGCTTTAAGTGCCTTTGGTTTCTTATTAATCTTTTTTCGTCATTTTCTTTCTTCAAATCTTGTTTAATATGCATTCAAAGTGAGTATTACATTGAATGACGAATTGATAACTTCGCCATACAATTGTTTTAAAGCTGTATCTTCGCCGTTAGATGTTTGTCGAAGTTCTTTTCGATAAACAAAATATCAAATAATTATTAATTAATAAATAATATGATACTAACAAGAAATAATGCATAATTATTTTTTTTAAACATAAAAAAACCTATTGATATGAAATTAAGTTCTTCAGCTAATGAAACAGAACGTGCAACTTCGATGCAATATAGTATATACAGCTCTATCAGTTCTTCATCCAAGAGAGATGATTCGGTGCTATTTAGAATCAAATTTATACTTTCGTTCTTCTTCGACTCGTAGTGCTCATACTTCATCATTTTCTTTCTATTTCATAAATTCGAGAGCTTTCTCTAACCATCAAGATACGCATAGCTGAAATTATTTTTCCGATTACATGCATTTGTGAGATCATATTTAGCGATGAACTTATGTAAGGAATATCACTTTCGACTACATTTTTGGTTTATTATAGTCTTTTGAAAACCGAATTTTACAGAGTTACTGTTATGAAAATATGAAGGTTTTTGTTTTGTTGAAGATATTTTACTAACAAAATGGCTTTGCCACCATATGCTATGGATAATAAATACGTTTTAAAAGATGTATCAAGCGATGTCAAATGGCGACATGGTTTACCAGACTATTCAAAAACGATTGCTCTTTTTGAAAAAGAAAGATCGACTAATCATACACCAGAATCACTGGAAAACATTGTGGAAAATATAGTGAAAAATTGGGAAATAGGTAAGACTTGATACATAAAATAATTTTAAAAATTAGAGCCAATGTAATTGACATTCATTGCATGCAATGAAAGATCCAAAAATGCCACAGATAGTGTTTCAATGGCTACACAAATGTTTATAAAGCATTGATAAAGTTTGGTTTTTTAGTGATACGAAGGAATACTATAATAAGGAAGCGTATGAAACAGTAATTAACATAAGTATACTACGTAATAGCTTTATAGTTACACCAAAATTCAAACTAAATATATCTATAAGTGAGAAATCTTGTTTTCTTTCTAGTATAACGTGTATACTGTTCAAGTGCATATTTTATATAAAACAAATTTGTTGTTTGTTTCGAGTTACGATAGAACGTTGTAAAAAAAAATACTTTTATCTCTTGGGTTTTTTCAGCTCTATTCATCAGAAAACGCATTGGACCCAAACATGATCTCTAGAGAAATAGAAAAATAGAGAATTTAAGAACACGTTGTTTCAATCCTCTATATATTGAGTTTAAGAAGTGTGAACCAATGATGTTAGGAATATTCTAGATCAGCAAATAAGCTGATAGTATTTCAGTACTCTTTTTGCGAAGGGAAATATTGCCCTAATACAAGAGAGTGTGGGATGAATGAAGAAAAGGAACACACACACCTAGTTGATTTGAAGGAAAGAACATATTTTTTACCCGTGATGTTTCTTCATCTTCTGATAAATCTTCACTCTTATACTTGGATGCTGCAGTTGCCTCGAGCATCGCGAGTCAATGTAACACTGCTTACAGAGAATGAGTAAGCCATGTTGGCGGAACTGATTGTGGTGATGATGATAGCAACGAGATTCAAGGATGATGGATATATAACACGACTCAGTTTGAATAAAACAAGTCGTTTCTTATATATCTAAGAGGACTTTAGCAAGATTCTTTCTCAAACATCGTATATTTTCCCATTGTTATTGCCGATCTTTTGTCCTACGCGATCGGGAATGATCTAATTCCATAGGTAATTGAAATCTGCATATAGTTCAGAACACGGCATAGTTTTCAAAGAACGCATCGTATAATCGAGAAGTTACAAAAAAAATACTTGTATAGAATGCAATACATGATCTTTTTGCATAAAGTAATTCATTCTATAGTTACTATTATGATTATCCAACAGAATATCACGTTGAAAATTGATTCGGTGGTGGGAACTGCACGATAAAATACTCGTAGTACACATAAAACTGGAGAAAACCTACGACTCGTTGATAACGAGCCACAAACGTCTTATTAATACGGACAAAGAATGAGTAAACTTGAGAATCTAAGTAGGTTGAAGAGTGCACGAATGTAAATTAGTATGGTATGAGTTTAATTGTGAAATAATTAATTCATCAGTCCTAGCACAGGAAAATTCGACCAAGTATGAAGATACGGAAAGACGTATGTAGAAATACGAGAAATACACAGAGATACAGCATATGTATCCGTGCCCTAGTTTTTTCTTTTACCACTTGTTGCGCTCAAAGATGAGATTAATCGGGGTGATGTTTTTCTCTGTTCTAGATCCACCTATTTTCGAAGTGTTTTTTTTTTGTTGGAATCAGTCACCTCCCATGCACCTGGTATACGATGTCTTTCACCGATTTTTGCGAAATCTCATATAAGTCTAGGCATAGGAGATATGGACGACATATATATCAATATGTACAACATACTCAAAGTAGATATGGTAATGCTGTATGCAGAGAATCAATATATATTTATGTGTATATATAGATACAAGATATCATACTACGTAGTTGAAGATGCTACAGAAATACATAAAATATCCAAGCGTATTTCACTTTATATAATTTACTTGTAAAATATTCAATCCATTAGTTCATGTATGCTAGTATCTCTAATACATCCTCTACACAAAATATGTATCTTATTTATCTATATATCTCGTATGCTGGAACTTTATTGCGTTTCTCAGAAGTTCAAGAGTTCAGGAGTATGACGCTTCTCCTGGTCTAGAGGTGTGATTCGAACAATAGTAAGTTCGTATCATTCGAGTTCACAATAAGATCAAATAGGATCTCAACTTTCGAAAAAAAACTGATATTGTGTCTTCATGACGTTCCTTCTATGCAAAATATCTTGACAATTGTTTAGCTTTTTCATTGCGACTTTTTAAATACATCCTTCATAACTGAGTGAAGTACTTTCTTGAAGAATGAAAAAATACCTACCTGACTCAGGATTTATTCCACTGCATGGTAGAGGAAGAATATGGTGAGATAGTTTATTGGTAACAAAACAGATTTTAAGCTCCTTTTGAACAATAGTTCGATTATCATCGTCGCACAATTTTCTTGTTTACGTCTTCCAGAATTTTAAAATTTGGTTATACTAGACTTTTGACGTCATTCAAATAGCATTAGAATTTTGTTCGTTTGAATTTCTATTCTGAGACGAACATCAAAGAACTTTAGATTTCGTTTTCCTGATCTATTAAACATTTTGTTCAAACAACACAAATTATAGGTTATCACTCTTACGGTAGTGTTTGGAATCCATTAGCTACCTATTCAGAGCCCCTTCTCAAAGAATGAATTCGATAGAGAACGTATTTGAATGCAGACTTCTTTGAATTAAAGAAAAATAGAAGCTTTCAATTCCAGACAGACGGATAACTAAAGTTATTAGTTTTACTCATTTTCTTTCGAATGACAGCTTGAAATTATTTTAGAAGTTAGTCATAAATTGGATCCTCGACAATGGGAAACAGTCGACGTGGACAACTATCGTTTCTCATGTAACGGTCAATGCAAATATACAGCCGATGATTTAGTTAAGCTGGGTACTTACAACACACTCATTGGTAAAACTGCATACTATAATGCTTCGATGATGACACTTGCAGAATCTCAAATGGCATTTCTACGAGCTTTTGGAGAAGGCTTCGCCTGGGAGTTAATTGAACTATATTCAGGTCCACCACATGTTACTTTTAAATGGCGTCATTTTGGTCGGATGACTGGCTACTTTTCATGTTCATCTTTTTCAGGTTATGTCTACAAAGCGGATTCGACGAATAAGATGGTGAATTTATATGGAATATGTAAAGCTACAGTGACATCTGATCTGAAAATCCAAGATTTACAAGCCTTCTTTGATATCAATCAATTATTTGCTCAGTTTACAGAAATGTGTCCATTCGCTCCATTTGCTAATATACCAAGTTTACTGAGTTCATCAACAGGAAAAACAATAAATGAATCACAAATCAACAACACAGGTTTATCTGTCAATAAACCAAATCCAGTTAAGAACCATGAAAATTCGCAAGGAAATCAGCATTCAGCAATATGTACCATCATTTGACTGTTGTATTAACAAAAGAAATTCTATAACTCTTTCTCTACTAATTCGATAAGTGTACCCTAGAAAAACTACGCTTGTCACAAACTCAATACATGAATCATGAAATTCTCTTCGTTACATGTCTTGTGCTACGTAATTTTGTGATCTATTTAGGAGAAGATGTCTACGAATACTACCTTGCCTATTCTCTACAAAGTCGTCATTCCAATCATGTAGTTTTACCGATGAATCACTGATGCGAGTAATTCACTCGATTGTTGTTCTTCTGGATTCCGAAGTTTTTTTTTCTAAAAAAAATAAGAGGCCTTAAGCAATCATTGAATCAACTGTTTTCTTATGAGTGAAAAAAACGGCAACACACTAGCATTGTTCGAAGATATTTGAACTAAAATTAAACTTATATGAGTCCGACTTCTAGACAATCCATATCTTGGGAGATTGGAATCTTCCAAAGTCGTGATTTTATGGAAGGTCTTCTGAGCGATAGGAACCATGTAGAAGGCTGAATTTTTTTACTTGATTAAGTACTCAATAGGATCTCTCTACAGCCAAAATCTCAACTCTCTAACACTATCCATTCATGAAATAAATATATTCACAAAGTGCTGAACAATGACCATTTTGCCGTGTATCTGCTAGAGACCTGCACGGAGTCATTTTCAGAGTCGCCATCGGAGTCAATTAAATGTTTTCTCGAAAATTCAGTTTTAGCGTAAGAATTTTTTTTGACTTGCAGATTTTGTACTCTGATATTTAATGTATAAACTGACGCATTTTGAGGATTCTAACGACATGTTATGAAGGTCAATGAACATGAAAGAGAAAGTCGGAGTTGAATCTGACTCTGACTTCGTTTCATGTTCATTGACCTTCATAAGATGTCGTTAGAATCTTCAAAATGCGTCAGTTTATACATTAAATTTTAGAGTACAAAATCTGCAAGTCAAAAAAGATTCTTACACTAAAACTGAATTTTCGGCAAAAAATTTAATTGACTTTGATGGACACTTCGAAAATGACTCCGTGCAGGTCTCTGATGTCGAGCGAAAACTTCGTCACATGAAAATATTTGGAAAATATTATTTTCATACACACTCGACATAGCTGTATTCAATACAAGCGTTAATTTTCTTTTATTGTTAACTTTATGATTAGTGATGTTTTTTTTTTTGAATGATACAATGTTTGTGCTCTGCACTCATCTGTGAATCCACGAGATCAGAATTATGATCTTTGGACAAAGCTTTCAGACATTTTCACTACAGAAGAAAAACCAGCAAGGGAATTGAGGATTTTTTGAAAATGGTACATTGTATCACAACATTGAGCACTTTATCCAACATAGATTGTCACCATGGTTTCAGATGAAACCTTTCGAAGGAGTTGCTTTAGTTTCAGTCTAAGTATAACTGTGTAATTGATACATATTTTATTGAAAGAAATGGAATATTTTGTACGAAGACAATAGAAGTTTCTCAGTGAAGATCACAGATTGTGACATTCATAACGAAGAGACTAGAAACAACAATGTTTATTAGTTCATAGTTAGTTCGATATTCTCTTTGCAGCATTAAAATAGAAAACTTGAATGAAATACAAATAACACGTGAAAAAAAGAACACAATAGTAGAAATAATTATATTCAACGTTACAAATACAAGTCAATGTAGACATTTCATTTTAATGGATTCTGTGTAAAAGGTAAAGTACATTTACCAGTAATCGGATCTCGATTTTCACAAGAAACGATTTTTTCGTCATCGAGCACTGTTGATATCACGAATTTTGTTGTTCAGATGTCGTTTAAAGGAATTTTGCGGGTCTCGGTATTTTACATTCATTGGTGAATGGTTCTCGTATTTCACAAAACCTACGCTTCACACGTAACTTTTGGAGTAATGAGAGTTTGACATTGTCGATGTTACCATCATCAGTATTGGTTATACAAATTAGCAAAAAGGTGATTCGAATAATAAAGCAAAATTGTATAATAATGAGTCATGATACTTTGATTGTGGTATGATAGTGACAAGAAATGAAGGACAGAAGATATATATTCGTTAATCACTGCTGTCAAACCACATCCACCTTCTTTTTTTTCTTTCTCTATTGATGTCATGCGCAAAGAAAAAAATTAATATTCATGACTATTCCTATGTTTTGAAGTAGGCTCTAATAACGCCAAAAAATGATCACAAGTTGACTTGCAATAGCGTTCTTAGTTGTCACTAGTCCGCAGTAACATCAATCGTATATAGTTAGGAAACTTCGGTACCTGCAAACTTGAAACCGCGTATTTTTTACACAAAGTATCTAACACTCACTATTTACGAGATTAAGTGAAGGATCATGATTTCAGCTATTTTTTTAGCTAGTCTAAGAAAATAATCAACATAAACTCGAAATGTAGTTGGAACATTGTGCCTCGGTAAGCTGACGTTGTCACTGATCTATTTAAACTCAAAGGTATACATCTTTCGAATCACAATCAATAGTACTCGCGATCATTAATAATAGCTTCATCAAAAACTAGAACAAGATCATCGGTGATCCAATTTACACGTCCTTCAAATACTAATAAGAGCGATAGTATCACTCTTGTATTAGAAAATGTTGTTTGTGAGAACAATTCTCATACCGTTATTGTCGTTGTCTGAAAAGATAAATGATCAAGTTTTTTCAATATCGTGAAAATAAATTTTTAAGATTATTATTCAAAAGACATAATCTCTTCGATTAATAGTTAAACATTGTCATTGAAAAATTCTCTTCTCTATAGAATCATATTAATGATTCTGATCATGTCTCTCTCTTTCTCTAATTACCACTCAAACAGAGGGTATGGTTGGTAGAGAACAGATTATTTACACCGACATCTGATCTAGTAAGGCGTAGGAAAAAAGTTATGACTTCTAAGTAAGTCCCGATGCAAAAGAATTATTCTGAATTCGTGAGATGACACTCGTTTGAATTCAGCCTTGAGTTTAAATAAGACAAGAGCCTATTTTCATATCGATGGCTTTTATTATTGTCTATACTTGTTAAAGGACATAATCATTCTGTACAATGTGCAGTGAAAATAGCTAGGTTGAATGTGTAGACGTTTCTATATTGACATCTATCTAGCTTCATTCTGTTAATATATTAAAAATATTATTGCAGAAAATATGACTTCTATACTCTTTGACAGGTCAATTTATGTTTTTCTTTTTATTGAAAAAATGAAGAAATGACGTTTAAATTTTTTTCTAATTTCAGAAGGGATTCTCTTTTTGTAAAACAAAAAATGTCGAAGAAGGTTTTAATATTTTTCTTCATTTCTCTTTAAAAATATTTGATAAGTGAAAAAAATACCATTTGAAGAAGATGGCTTGTGCTTTTATCTTTTGAGAAACAGTCATGATTACTGTTCGATGGTCGGATATGGCAAAATACTAAGAAAAAAAGAACTTAAGCCTAATAAAATTCTAAATAGTAAGATGTTTTTTTTAAATTTAATAGCAAATATGAGATAAAAATAAATAAGAATCTCATTGCATGTTTTATTATTGTCTATTGAGTTTTTAATAATATTAGCATGTTTGGGATGTTTAATTCACTTCATCTCATTATATTCAATCTTTCTTCAATTTGTTGTTTTTTTTCTTTAAAACTCACCTGGATGGGATTTTTTACCTGCGTAAAATAATTTAAGCGTCTTACTTACTTTTCTTTTAGACTAATGTTCATGACAATTGGTCATGAGAAAGAAAAGAGACTATACTGACAACGTTCTTGCACATGAATTTGAATTGCTTTGTCTTTCTATCTCTTTTAGTGAAATCGTTCTTCTTCTGTTTCCTCTAAGGTTGCCTCTTTCTTTGTTAGAATAAAAAATATATACAAACATGAAACTCGATATACTTTTTTCTTGTGTTTTATATGCTTTATGCAACGCATTTTCAACTTCCGTTTATTACTATTATGTTTTTAGTTCATTTCTTCATTTGCATGATTATTTATTACGCTTATTATATTTACGATTCATCAAAGGCGAGTTGTGAGTGGTTGGATTTGAAGGTATGGATAGAAAAAGCTTGAGATATATTCAGTATTTTCAAGCGTTTTTTGTTTCAATTCATTGCCTGCATAAAAAGTGAAAGAATAATAGTGTGGATATTATGTAAGTAGAAAAACGTATGTCGAGTTTAATGCACAAAACTTAGTGCAGAATGAATGTGACCAACAAAGAAAATAACATGAGTATATGTGTGAGAAGAACATGCGAGATCAATTTGGAAAAGATAATGTACGATTCACGTTGAGAAAATCCAATTTGTAAGAGGTATGATACTTTGTTATGAGCAATTAACATGCGTGCGACTTTGAATGATCAAAAACTCTCCACATGAACAAAGAGGCTCAGTAAACGAATTTGTTTCAGTTTCTCTCGTAACTAAAAATATGAACTAAATCGTTTTTTTCTATCGAGTTTCTTCTCTATTTCCTCTTTAATAAATGATATCCTAATAGTAAATCCTCAAACTATTCCTAACCGAGTGCCAAGTATAGAGTCTCGCACTCTACACCATCTATCTCAAAAATATCATCATCTGGCCTTGTCAACTTGGATTAGATAACACTGTATCTAAAAAAATTCATTCCAATCACACTGCTATACAATATTAAAGCATCGTATTTGTGAATCAGTTTTTCGTTGAACTTTAAAAATATTTCGAAAGCAACATATTCCCCCGCGCATTTTTTCTACCCTTTCGTGGCCCCCAATGAGTTTTATCTTCTGTAGAAAGAAGATTGTTTTTCAATGGAATGGGTTTGTGATCACAGGTACCATAGCATCGTTTTAGTAAATGAATTTTACTGTTGTAAGGTCAATGGGTTTGCTAACTGATAGCACTATAAAGAATACGTTTAAATGCTCCTGCGACTTGTGGATAGTTTAATGTGGAAGAGAAAAGCATGAGTTTCATGAAAAAAGTGATTCCCAAAACGATTTTCAA